TGACATTTCCATGCCTCCAGGCTCAATGACTTGAAAACAACTTAGTGCTCCTTCCAAAAATATTACACACCTTTCATTTACTCTGGAAATAAAACAATAACTTTGCAACAATGGAGAAACATTTTCCACACATGAAACCTTTTGCTCCTTAATGAAGAACGCTTGATTTATTGCACATCTTAGACCTTTTGGCGTTTTGTGTTAGACAAATAAACAGGCTCAATTTGATGGAAGGAGAGCTACGTGTGGAGATGCTACTTATGATCAAGTGTGACTGGTGCCATAAGGAACAATAATTTGTCAACCTCGGTAAGAATTAAGAACCGTGGGCTATTAATTCTGAGACATGACAGGACTTGTATTACATGTTGCTTGGAAATACGGTTAATCAAACTGATGGGAAGGTATGATTCAAACAGCAACTGCTCCTTCGCAGTTTTCATTTGATGCTCTGTAAACACTGTTTCTTATTTGGAATATCCCCCCCTGCTTCTGAAAGGTGGAGCATACATTTGCTGTCTATGTGATGATGCATATTCAATGATTTCAACAAATGTGCATTGACCTCCTTCTATGGATCTGTCTTTATATTGACGCTGGGAGCATGGCATGGGCCACAGTTGCTCTGGAAGTTTGATGTACACATTGTCACCGTTTACAATTCAGGGCAGATATTTCTAGAACTGGCGTCACTTCATTTCTGTGTCTTATTGAACATATGCTCAAGGTGGGTCTGTTGCCAGGTGACCTAAATTGAATTACCCACAATGAGTTGGTTTGCATGTTAATATGTAATAACAGGAATATCATCACATTTGCATTATTATGAAATTATAGTTTTAATGACTAATGTTATAATTTCTGAATTTTTGAGCTATGTTATGCATTTTCTAATATGTGCAACTAAATTTAATTATACTACTCTTTCAAAAATCTGTAAAAATGCATTGATATAGTAAAAAAAATGTCCTACTTGGCCTACTTTCTCCCAGCTAAACATTTGTAGCCCATGTTGGATCAAGCCTACTCATAAGTGATGTTTCCATTTCCCTGTATATAATTCTGAAATCTGTTTTCCTACATCAGTTCTTTGAGTCTGGTTTTTCTACCCATGTATTTTTCAAGATCACTCATATAGTCTAGGCATGATGCTTAAGTTTGTTTTTTTATTACATATTACAAAAACAATACGTGTGTATGCTTCATTACTATAGAAAATATGAATTTGACACAAGTTCAGCAAAGCTTTATAATGTTGCTATTTCAAATCACTTTGATTTATTGAATAATTATATAACAATTTGACTTCTTGAACTATGTTTATATGGGTGGGATAGGTACAAATCTTTAAATATTTTCAGGATGCACCCTGACCGGTTTTGGCTCAGTGGATAGAGCGTCGGCCTGCGGACTCAAGGGTTCCAGGTTTGATTCCGGTCAAGGGCATGTACCTTGGTTGCAGGCACATACCCAGTGGGGAGTGTGCAGGAGGCGGCTGATCAATGTTTCTCTCTCATCGATGTTTCTAGCTCTCTATCCCTCTCCCTTCCTCTCTGTTAAAAATCAATAAAATATATTTAAAAAAATATTTCAGGATACAAGTATATCTTCTGTATTTTTAAATTGTACAATGCAGATCACACACTGACTTGAACTGTCAGTATAATACTAGTAAACATAATTTTTACCTGTGGTGACTTTGACTTATTTTTAAGACTTGAAGACAGTTTTCTATAATTTTAGGTAAAAGGTTTCCATTGCTATTCTCCCTAAGAAGAGATAAAATGTTCTCTTATTAATTTTCTGTATTCAGATACAAACCTGATTATAGATTATAAAAAAAAGTATATAACAGAACAGGGGCTAGCAATTGATTAAAACATATAGATGCAGTTTCCCAACTTTAGCCTCCACTTTTGAGTAAAATATAACGCAAAGAGCATGGACAAAAGCCTGGGTTCAAATTCCTACATTTCACATATCAATTGTCTGAATCTGATCAAGCCACTGAGTCTACATGCTCATCTGTTTCTAATTCATTAAATGGAAGTGACAATTTCTATAAAATCTTTGTATATGATAAATAATCAAAATGTGTCTATTCTGATAGTGAGTACAGTACCTTATCTATAAACTGACACAAATTCTCCACCTCTCTTGAGTAATCTTGAGTGACTGGGAAGCAAATTTTAACTCAGGGAGAAATTTTGGAATAAAGAGAAAAGGATAATTCTTTTCTCTTTTGTACCAAGGCATTTCTATTTCTTGTATCCTACTGTAGGCAGAAAAGAGAGACCCAAGACCACTGTTTTAAAGTAATATGGTAAGATGCTTTAGAAACTGGGGATTCCAAGATAAACTGGGTATTGAAGACCTTAGTATCTTAAAAAAGTTCAGAAAGTCATTGCTATGAGTGTAGTCAAATGGTCATAGTCTGCCCTGAGATGCCTCACCCATTCTCTCCTCCAGGGGCTCACTGAATGTGAACAACATCCATGAGCTATCCTCAATGCCTGCATGGAGTCAGGTGCCACTACTGGCTTTGGTTCTGTCTTTGAAAACATACTTGGTAATTGATCTTTTTATCATAGTTTTACAACACCACTTTGGTATAAACATGATAATAAATATAATCTTGTTAGAAATGTAATTCATTTATAGTGTTTATTGAGACTAACTTTATGTTTGCTGCACTGACACATAGTTTATAATTTATGAACTCTGGGTGCACTCCATTTGAATTTGAGAACATGAATATCTTGAGCTCTGTGAGTGATGCTGAGAAAGGAAAGGGCATGGTGAGTCATGGGAAGGGGGTGTAACATAAAAACTAATTCTGATTAGTGTAAAATAGACAGTTGTGGAAAGCCGCATGGAGATAAAAAAATTGACAGGCCACACTGTTATCAAAACAATTCTTGGAGAAATATTTCCTATTGCGTGAAAAGTAATGAGTGCCTCAGCAGTTCCAACCACTAAGGTTTCACCAAAACTCTTCGTTGGTTCTAGGCCAAACTTCTTTAAAGATTAAAAGGGTCCTACATCAGGAAAGTGGGATTAAATACCCAGATTAAGACCAAAAAATGTTGGCATGAACAATGTGTAAATTGGTGGAGATAAATTCCTGGCATTTGTGCTCAATTCTAAATGTAACTGAATCACTCTTATCTGGAAAGATGTGTTGAGAGCATAAGAAAGAAGATTCTGGCCAGAGCCACTTTTGAGCCTGGTCAGTTCAAACATACCATAAGCTCAGCCTTTTGCACAGGATGGCATTTCATTGTTTGAACATCTGGCTGATTTGCTGAAAACATGCATTTGTGGGAACTATATGGGAACATTTCTGTTTGATAAATAAGGAAATACTTTAGTAGAGAAATAGTATCGGGTTCTTACTTTGTGTTTGCTATATTTTTTTAGCAATAACAATGCTTCATTTTTTCTTTGTTTATGTTAGTGGGGAAGGAAGACTCCTGTTTATTGTACAATTGCCATGACTTTCACATTTTAACAAGCTGCTCTCAGGAAACAAACTAGAAAGCCCTACGCGCGGTTTCTACATGTTTCCAACTGTGCGGAAAATTAGTATTTTGAAACTTCAGTATATTACACATAAATAAACATACCTTTTCATCTCACAGGTAACACGGATGTCTCTTTGGAGAAATGATTTGATCGGGCAGTAGAGAAACAGACAAAGGATTTGCCTCTGAAAGATTGCTCTGCTATCGGCTGCTATTTCTCTTTGCTAAGGTATTATTTTAACAAAACATTTCTAATTTAAATTCTGGAACACTCTCATTTTTCTTAAGTATTGAATTGCTCCCCTCATCCAATCTGTGTCTATAGGTGGCAGCGATCCTTCACTGTGGCAGTGGTGCGGATTTAAAGGGGCTGGATTGTAAATGGAAGGTGAGTTTATGAAAGGAAAGCAAACCTCTGGACTCTATGTTCAGGTAGGTTCTTCTTTATGAAAGTACGAGCTTATGTTGTTCAAAATGCTGTTATGAATGAGAGTAGAGCTCAGCTGCCTGCCAGCGCTGAGTGGAATGTAGTCTGCCCTTCTTTCTGATCTTGGGCCATGGCAGACTTCTGATGGGGAATCAATCATCCCCTCTTCTTAGGCAAAATAGCTGAGCCATTGAGCAATGTGTTTCCCACACCCTGGCTCCAGCGGTGTAGAGTGAAAACTGTTCGGACCTGGAGATTATTATGCTAAGTGACATAAGCCAGTCAGAGAAAGTCAAGTACCATATGATCACACTTACATGGGGAATTTAATGAAAAAAAATAAACTGATGAACAAAATAGAAACAGAGGCATGGATACATGGAACAGACTGGCAGCTGTCAGAGGGGAGGGGTTCGGGGGACTGGATGAAAGAAGGGGAAGGAGTTAAGCATAAATATGTATATTTATTTTCCATAGACACAGACTACAGTGTGGAGGGAAAGAGGATTGGGGATAGGTGAGGGGGGCAAAGGGGCATAACTGGGACAGAAAGAGACTTTGCTTGATGCCATGGGCACACGATACAGTGTGCAGGTGATGTTTTGTTCAGTTGTACCCTTGAAACTTGTATGGTTTTATGAACCCATGTCACCCAATACATTTAATCAAAAACTGTTTTGCTCTTCTTCATGCTGATATGTAGGATATATTATTAAGGAAAGGCAGGATAATTCTGTCTTTTATAAAATTCCCACTTTCATGAGTGGCATATGATTCTACCGATACTGGGGTAGGACTTGTTAGAACACTGGTGTTGATACTCCAAATATTCGTTTTCATGGAAACTCTAGTTTAATTCTCAACATAATAGAAGCAATTGATTAGAGAGGTTTATTGGATATTTAACTTTCCAAAGAACTTGCTTCAATGTTTGGGAGCCAAAAGTACAAAGGCCTTGTGGGGGAACACTTCCTAAACTAATTAACCGGCTGGAGCACAAGAACATGTGTTAGATTAGCTAGGAGTGATAGCACCTGACCACATTCGGTGTGTACGTACAACCTATCTGCCACTATTCCAAGGTCTTCAGATGGTTTGTCTCATTTAAATCCGTATAACAACTCTGCTATTTTCTGCCCGTTCAGCAATGTATACTTTCTCGTATGTTAATGGTTCTAAAATCATGATATGTCTTAAAATTGATTTTGTACAATTGCTACCGATGGAAGCAGAAGCTACAATGGTGTTTATTGTTACCTGAACATGTGAGAATACAGAAATCAGACTAAAAACATGCAGAATAAATGTCAGGAGCCAGGAAGGAAATCCCAAGGACAGTAAATGAAGCCCTTTTTAACGGCTAAGAGCCACGTACTTGTTGGTGGATAACGGGGGGATGGTGAGCTGCACGTTCAGCAGAATTCACCCTAAAGCCAGCATCAGCCCCAAGCAGGTCCTACAACTGTACAGCCAGATTAGGAGGCTGGCACCAATGGTGTTAAGTTGGGTTCATGTGCTTTATTAACAATTTTTTTTCAATCCTCACCTGAGGATACGTGTGTGTGTGTGTGTGTGTGTGTGTGTGTGTGTGTCTGTGTGTGTGTTTCCATTGATTTTTGAGAGAGAAGAAGGGAGAGAAACATCAATGTGAGAGAAACTGATTGGTTTCCTCCTGCATGAACCCCGACCTTGGGTAAACCCACAACATAGGTATGTGCCCTGACTGGGAATGGAACCTGAAACCTCTTTGGTGTCTGGGAGGATGCTCCAACCAACTGAGCCACCCCACTGGACCATTAACACTTTTGATAGCACAATAAACAATGCTATAAAGAAAACTCAGACTTAGATGAATCGAATTCAAGATCTGATTCAGAAAAATTTGAATCTGAATATGAAGAAGTCATAGAAATATCTAAGCGAATTGTATGTTGCTTATATCTCCTTTTTATATATGCACTTCAGTTGATCAGCAGCCTAGCCAGGATCTCCAGCCAAGTTCTGGTCAGGATCTCCAGCGAAGTTCTGGTGTCGACCATTAACACTTTTGATAGCACAATAAACAATGCTATAAAGAAAACTCAGACTTAGATGAATCGAATTCAAGATCTGATTCAGAAAAATTTGAATCTGAATATGAAGAAATCATAGAAATATCTAAGCGAATTGTATGTTGCTTATATCTCCTTTTTATATATGCACTAGAGGCCTGGCGCAGGATATTCGTGCATGGGTACTGTCCCTAGGCCTGGCCTGCGATCAGGGCCATCTTCCCTGGATGCCGGCAGCTGGCCCCGCCCTTTGCTGCCACCCACCCCCAGTTCCCCATTCCCCATCAGGCGATCAGAGCCTGCAGGCCAGGGGGAGGGACCGAGAGGTTGGCCATGTCCTCCTGCTTGGCAGCCCCACCCCCCTGCCGTGGATCGCCTTCTGTGTGTGGGATGACTGGCGGGGTCAGGGCCTTGGCCTGGCACCACCCACCCCCGTTCCCTGTTCCCCATTTGGGCAATGGGAGCCTGCCTGCAGGGGAAGGGACCGAGAGGTTGGCCGGCAGCCCCGATCGTGCAATCGGGGCCTGTGGACTGGGGGCAGCTCCTGCATTGAGCATCTGCCCCCTGATGGTCAATGCATATCATAGCAACCGGTCATTCTGCCATTTGGTTGATTTTCATATTACCCTTTTATTATATAGGATAAGAGTGGTATATAATTAAAAGCATCTATCTATAATTAATTCTAAAAGATTTTCAATAGCACACAAATTCAAAGCGTTAAGAGAGCTTTGTGTAATATTATAATTGGATATAGTTTTCATGTCCTCCTGCTTGGCAGCCCCACCCCCCTGCCGTGGATCGCCTTCTGTGTGTGGGATGACTGGCGGGGTCAGGGCCTTGGCCTGGCACCACCCACCCCCGTTCCCTGTTCCCCATTTGGGCAATGGGAGCCTGCCTGCAGGGGAAGGGACCGAGAGGTTGGCCGGCAGCCCCAATCATGCAATCGGGGCTTGTGGACTGGGGGCAGCTCCTGCATTGAGCATCTGCCCCCTGATGGTCA